TGCCTCAAAAGACTGAAAGAGTTTTATTACCACCATCCCAAAACTCCAGCTGACTGCAGCCCATTATCAGTATATTGAGAGGCAAAACAAGTTTTACTTGAGGCTTAGAACAGGAATACAAAATGTCCCTAGGAACTCAACTATTTCAAGAACATAAGAACTGTCTAAGGAAAGTTTAAATACAGTGTAGAGAACACAAACCTGCACTCAGTCCCTCTGTTAAGTTGTCACACTGTCACGTTCCTGCATGTGTGCACACTTCTGTTTGCCCACAGGAGATCAAGAAAGAAAGAAAATTAGCATCATATAAGCAAACACATCTGACAGCAAGAACCAGATGCTTGAACAGTACCTGTATTTGATGCATCTGACAGAGGGAAACTGCTAAGATTGTTTACCTAAAAGGACGCAGTAAAAGAAAATGTGTTCTTACACATGAAGCAAGAATAGCCATTTTTTCCCTCCTCACATGAAAAAACCTCTGCAATTAGACTGTTTACGTTTTGCTTGAATTTCTCAGCAATCTACCGAGCTTATATGAAAGGCTGAACCACAGGACACAGAATTTGGATGCGTATTTCAGCAGATCTGCCAAGCTAAGTTTTGCTTCATACTGCAGTAGCATTTTGGTGAAGAAAATTAAAAACACAAGCCAATGACCTGCTTACAGCATGAGATTTGTGCTGCATATACAATGCATGGAGTGCTGAAATTGAGTACTGAGCCTTTTTAATGCCTCAGGCAGTAATGCTAAAAAATATTTTTGTCCAAAATATGCTCCTTACTTAAAATGCAAACAAAAGCAATCTTTTTACAGAGCTGGACAGTCTCTGCTTGTGCATCCATTAGCACGTATAAAGGTAAAACCAAGATGCAAAAGCCCCAAGGCTATAATGCACTGTAAGTATCAGCATATTGTTTGCCTTCAAAGACAGTAGCTGATCAGTGCCAAACAGAATTTATTCTTTATTTTCTATGGGCTCTAAGCAATGCATGACAAGGTACATCTAGTCTCCTCTGCTCTTCAGTGCAGACAAGACTGTTAGGAGTATCCCTATTTCACAAAGAAGCTGCCAGCACTCTTTTCTGTGTTTGAAGGAAAACTCATCATAACCAGAAGACTAGCGTCAGAATCCTACCATTGTGTTTGCACCTTAACACAAGGTTTTCTGACCCTTTCATTCCAGGCATGACCTGGCATTCTGCAAGAAAGCAACAGTTCTAGAGATAAAAATTATACTGAATCAAGAAAGAGTCCAGCGCAGAGCCACAAAGATAAGGAACGGAGGGGAACACCTCCCTTGTGAGGAAAGGCTGAGGGAGCTGGGTCTCTTCAGCTTGGAGAAGAGGAGACTGAGGGGCAACCTTATTCATGTTTATGAACATAAATGAGCATAAATGAATGAACATTATGAGCATAAATATGCAAAGGGTGAGTGTGAAGAGGATGGAGCCAGACTCTTCTCAGTGATGTCCAGTGATAGGACAAGGGGCAACAGGTGCAAGCTGGAGCACAGGAGGTTCCATGTAAACGTGAGGAGAAACTTTTTTACTGTGAGAATGACAGAGCACTGGAACAGGCTGCCCAGAGAGGTTGTGGAGTCTCCTTCACTGGAGACATTCAACACCCACCTGGACATGTTCCTGTGAGATGTGCTCTAGGTGATCCTGCTCTGGCAGGAGGGTTGGACTAGATGATCTCCAGAGGTCCTTTCCAACTCCTAACATTCTGTAATTCTGCAATTCTGAGGTAAAGAGCTTGCTGCAGTTTCTCCTAATTTCCTGACAAAGTCATGCTTGGCCAAGTGACACTAACATGTGGTATCAAGAAATTCACAGAGCCAGAAACTATTATTTTCAGTTTTGGTGCAAGTTTCATATTAAGCACAAGGCTGATCTTATGTAAGAGGAATTACTTCTTCCAATGGGGTGGAAGAATCAAACTACTGGAAGTAGAAAGAGCTCAAAAATTAAAATACATTAATCTTTTGAAACATAACTATGAAGATGTCAAAGCACCATCTAGAGAACAGAATTTAATAAGCAGCTACCACTTGTTAGGGCCTTATGCAATAAGAAATACATCTAATGTTTTGTATTTGTTAGAGTAAGAAATACTTGGCCAAATCAAGTAGATGTTCTCATGGCACGTGAACTTGCCACCAGTGCAAAAATTCGGAGCCCACAGCATGTGTGTATGGGAGAAGAAAGAGCCTGGGAAGCTCTGCAGCATTAAGGAAAGCAGGTTTCTGATTCCTGTAGTTGTTCTACTAGAGAACCAGGTTTTAGGTGTGGGGGTTTTTTGTTTGGTTTTGTTGTGTGTTTTTTGTTTGTTGTTTTGTTTTAAAAAAAATATGTTTGAATTATAATTCCTCAAAAGAACAACCTTCTAGGCTTCAGCAACAGCTTTAAAAATGTAAAATACACTCAAAACACACAAGTTCCTGACTTTACAAAACTGAAGGATGCTGCTGACTGCACTGACATATCCTAAAATATAAGTTTCTAGATAAAGGCACACTGGACACGGTATTTAACAAGAGCATCAAAGGCAGCATGGCCAATACAAAGTTGTAGTTGCTTATGCAACATTTTTAAAAAATGCATGTTTCCAGGAGCATAATTCCATTTTGATTTTTAAAGGAAAAAAATCAGCATTCTGAGTGGGCCTTAATTTTTCTTCAGGAATGCTTTAAAGTGAACATTGCATTATTATATTAACACACCTGAAGCAGAATTTGAAAAACATAAAAAATTTGCCTTGCTTTTATTGACCAAGTTATTAATATATATATATATGTACACACATACACACACTCAAGAAGGGGGAGGGGGAGGTAAAGTACATTTGTTTCAACAAATAGTCTAAGACTCCCATACATGTAGAGTTAAAACTTGACTTCTGAAGAAAGAAAACCACACCTTTTATACTGCATCTTATTGATGGGTATGGGAAAAACATGGAAAACACTTGCATTAGCCCTTTTTAGCTCTTTACTGCCTTTCCCACTACTCTGAACCTTGCAGCCACAATTTGCTCTCCAGAGAAATTCAGGGCTGGGCACAAGATAAATGGTCCTCAGTGCAACATGAGTTAAGAGACTGTTGCTGGCTGCATTTGAGAATCAAAGATGAAACTCTGAGGGTAAGAAGAGCACTGGAACAAGCTGTCCAGGGAGGCTGTGGAGTCTCCATCCCTGGAGACATTCAAAACCCATGGGGATGTGTTCCTGTGTCATCTGTTCTAGCAGGGGGGGTTGGACTAGATGATCTCCAGAGATCCCTTCCAACCACTAACATTCTGTGATACCAGGTTAAGAGCAGGCTATGCTGCTGCAACTTTTGACTACTGATTCCTTCCAGCCTAGACAGGTCTTCTGACTTTTGCTGAACTCCATTAACATGAGAAGCATAGAAGCCAGTTTTCAACTACACTCTGTTGTGTGGGACTTCCATGAAAGGACAGAAAAAGCCCCAAAGTTCTCCACCGAATTATTCCTTATTATGGAGGTGGGCTAGGTCCCCTCCCTGACCCTTCCCATCTGCTCCCTTTGATCTCTATACTGCTCCACCCTTCTCTGTTAAAGGACTTCTCACCATCAGACTAAGAAAAAAAAAAGAAAAAAAAAATGTTTTAAAAAAACCCTCTCCAAAATGTTTTCTCCCTCAGAACACATCATTCCTCCAGCTCGGCCCAAGACTCCAGGAAAGGCTGACATTGTGGCCAGATAGTGCTACTGACACTAAAGCCCCAACAAGTGAGTCTTATGTATGAAAGCCAGGTCTTCAATTTGGGATTTCAACAACAGCACTGGGGGCATGGTTTTAAAGCCTAACAAACTGTAAAGAAATTACCCAGATAGTGAACAAGAACATCAGAATTCCAACACACCTACCCTTCCCAAACACCTAAAGGGATACAGGCCAACAAATCTACCCATTAAGCACAGAGGAAAAAGTAAAACAACCTAATGTTCAAGCTAAAACCTTCCTCAGTACCAATTTCCATTATAATAAAGGTAGGTGTTGAACCTCCTTCTCCACACAGGATACTTTGCCACAGGCATTTCACTGCACAAATGCCTGGCACATTGTTTAATTGAGCACTGAGGCTGACAGATGAAAACTCATCTCAGCTGAGAGTTCAGTTTTTAAAGGTCCAGAGTTGCTTAAAACTGCTCTCTAAGGAAAAAATTGTTTGGGATGCTCAAAATGCTTCTGAAGGTGCGCTGCATCAAGTCCTTTCTGCCTTTTTACCACTGATTCCTGGCTGGACATGAAAGACTCCAGAGAGCCAAAGAAAGCAACCCAAGGCTGGACTTCCCTGCAGGCACCATAGTTTCCATGTAAATACAGGGAACAGTGCATCCTAGAGGACAGAGATGTATCGGAGTACTTTACAACTCGTAAGTGCAACTGCTAAATTGTAAACTTCCTTTGAAAACAAAGACATTTCCACCTGATGAGTTCTACCCTAGAAAAGGAACTCACAAAGCACAGGAAGAGATAAACACAATGAGCTAAAAATGCTCTCTGTTCCCAGCCTAAACTGAAAATGAAGTTGAAGCCTGTAGTTGTAAGGGATTTATCTATATTGGCTTTCACTGGTTTAGGTCAGCATCGAAATCACACTGCTTCTCTGAGAGGGAGACAGGAGCAGAGGACATGAATCTGTATGCATCTCTGTTACCATCGTTAGTAGCTTTAACAGCCCTGGCTAGTTTTGTAGCAGTGATTGAAGAAAAAGGCCTTCTGAAGTTCAGACAAACATTCAGCATGGAACACGCAAGAAAAAAAATGTGCTTTTCTTTGTTCCTGTAACAGTGACAAGAGAACGTAGCTGACCATCTAATGCTTCCTCCTTCTCTCCCTTAACTGTGCTAGAAATTTACCCTTTCATCTGCAATTTTAGGAAACTTTCAGTTCTGGAAAAACAAACATGAGCCAACATGTTTCAGATGAATTGGACCAGCATGTTCTGCACTTTTGCCCTCATTCAATTATCTGTCTTTGCTGTAGTTGAAGGAAACTCCATTTCTGATGGATCCATTAATGAGGGTTTTAGGATTCTCTCTCACAATCTTTTCTCTGCTGAAGATAGTATCCTGATCACTGTCAAACTCTGACTCGGAGACCATCAGACTGGAGTTGTGTTCTGTACTTCTGTGTTTTATACCTGACAATAAAAGAAGCAAAACAAGATCATTAGAAAAGATTTCACTTTTTAGCAACAACTAAGCATGCTCTCCTCTGCTGTGTGTATAAAAGGTGACTGAAAACATTCTCTGCAATCCAGCATAACAGTGTGCACTGCTCCCACCACCAATACAAAAAATGGCCTAGGAGGTATCATATATTGTCAGGCAGATATTTTTCTGACTTCACTACAGGACCATCAGTTTATGGCTCTGAAATGTGAATATATGCATTTAAATTCAAAACAATTAGATTATCTTAGTACATAGCTTATGCACTTTTTAATGGCTTGAATCTAGAAATCAGTCTGTCCACTCCACTATCTGAGTAACACAAGTGCAAACGAAAGGTCATGGTTTCTACAGAAATGTAATGTACAGTAATGTCTGCCTTTCTAGGAAAGCAATTTCTCAGGATTATTCTATTTCCCTGGATTCCAATACTTCCCTCAGTAAAAACTGAAACTTGAGTAAACCACATTATACGTGAACAGAGGCTAGCAGCTGATGTCTACCTACGCTTATCAGGGCACATATGGGCCAGGAGGGAACTGCTGTACAGCAGTAAGCACAGCTCCTAAGTAAAGTGTATGGAGGGGAGGCTACATGGAGAAAGTCTGTGGGACAGTTAAGATGTTCTAAACTGAGATTAATTAAGAAGCTCAGAGTAGTGGCTGAGCCCAAGGCCTCATGAAAGACAGGAAGTTCTTCTCCCCCAACCATTTCACTGCCTATACTTGCTTCTCTCATTCCCAAACTTGTAAGCCAGCTTCTGGGCTCCTCCTGGCTGCAGGCATCAATTCAAATACATTGACTGGAAACTTGATGGATGAGTTCCCAGCTGAAACAGATAGCACTTACCATATTTGGGTCGTAGCTCCATTCTTTCCTGTTCATCTATGTTATCTAGGATGGTATACTTTGTTTTCTTTCTTATTTTTGTCCTCTTTCTGCTAGAAAGAAAATTACCACAAAGACATGTAGTTCTCACATACATACCAAAGTTCATTCTCTCTTCCTTTCCACACACATAACTACATACTCCAATATACAGAACCTCATTGTACTTCTCTCACTTCCACATAAAAAAGAGGCGTTTCAGTTTATACCTGTCTTGTGCAGCATGTCCCTCCTCTATGTTACTGTATCAACCAGCTCTCACTCTCTGGCACAAGCCACATGACGACAAAGGAAAAAAAGTAGCTGAACTCCATGACCATTCCCTTTCTCACCAAATCCACATGAGCCTGTGAGGCTTCACCCCCACATGGAGAGGGACACACTTCTATTTGAACTGTTCTTTCATCCATAAAAAGGAAAACCGTATCAACTGTGCATTTCAAACAGCATCTTTTACATACTGCAAAGACAAAAAAACCTGAAAATCCAGAAATACTTTGATAGCATTATCATTTTTGCTAACACCTGAACAAGCTATCTAATCGCTGGGCTTTTTGAGCAGCAGCAAAAACACTTGCTATAGTGAAAAAACTCGCAGGGATTTGTCACTTGAAAGAGAATTTCTTATCAGCTCACTAGGAAAGACAAGGAAGGGGGGAGGCAGAGAGGGAAACAACACACAGTAGTAGGCAAAACTGTTTAAGGAAAGAGGAATTAAGAAGTTTGCATGACTGAGATCACTGCAGTACTCCTTGCATGCCAGCCAGAATCAGCCCACTTGTCCACCCTTCCTGTTCAGGGGAGACACCAGGTTAGGAGCAGCTCCCTTCCTATATCCTAGAACACTCCTACATCAATGATTGTCAGGGAATGCCTCTTTATTTTTTTAGCATGGATTATCTGAAGGACTCAGTGGGAAGTATTCACTCAGCACTTTAACATAAATTATCTCTTAATACGAAAGATACTCCTATATTGGCATTTTGTTTTTCAAAACGCAGAAGAGCAGAGCCATAAATGGATACTCCTTTTTTCAACCAAAGTGCAGCGATACACAAAGAGCTACAGGAAGCTCCTCACATGTCTGAAAAGAGTTCAGTGGTTTAGTGCTAAGGACTGGACTAAAATATGGCAGTAGTGTACAGTATTTTTTGCATATACCCCATCAAAAAGAAACACAAATCATGTACCTTTTGCAGCAGCAGATGCAGAACCAGGCAAGCCCTATCATGACCACAATCAAAATAAAAACAGATACAGTCACATAGAGTATACTCCACTCTGAAAAAAAGAAACACAGCAGTGCTTTGTAAAGTAATATGGATAGGATGTTTTCTATTATATCTCTATTAAAATAAACAACCCTGAGGAATGGGGAATGGCAACAGGAACTTAGGAAAACTTGGCACTTTCATATCCTCATCAGACCAATCCATAAAAATTCTTCAGCTTCCATATTCAAAGTGCACATTTGAAAATTTTCTTCCACTCCAATACCTTTTACCATCCCAAGATACCCAAAATCCGTGGGAACTGAAAGTCAAGAAGGCATGATTACACCTAACTTACATCGTCCTCTAACTGAAATAAACACAGGTGTACTCTGGGTATGGAATTTTAGCATATGCTTTGGAAGAACAGCTGACTAGATCCTTCTACCTGCAGTCTTACATTTGTAAATCCAGGAAAACATAAGAAGGATACAGAGAGATGCGCAATAATGTGAACTCCAACATGTGTATGGTCACTATTTCAGTGTTACTATCACATTATGGAAAAATACAGCATTAGGACAGGGCTGCAGGATGTCCCAGTTTCAGGCTTAAAACCTACTCCCCATTTAGGTTGGTCAATTAGTCTTCACTCACTAACACACAGACACATGGCTCATGGTTACTTAGTGTCTTGTAGCAATAAATTATAAATTGCTATAGATTTACTTGAAGACTAGTGCATTGCTCAGCAAATGCCTCCAAGTCTGTGCAGCACTAAGAGTTGAGCATTATTTCAACTTCAGTAGAAGGTCAATTCAGTTAACTTTAAACTATTCAATATTTGAAATAGAGAGGCTTAGCTGATATATTAGGTGTGCCACAGAATGCAGGCATGATTGAGGTGGTGAACCTAAACTGCATTTCCCAGGTACAACAGGCAAACCAAAAGAAACAATGAAAATAACCATGCTAAAAAGTCGAGGTTTTCATGGTGACTATATTGCTTACCCAGATCACTGGTGCTTTCTTTACTTAGGTCACATCATACTTCTGGCACAGAAGTACCAGTTGCCCACTCAGAGAATTTAAGTTTTTGCCTCTTTTTCAGCATTACAACAATCAGATGAATACTTCTCAAAAGCTTTGCAATGCTCACACTATTTAAAAACCCTTCCAACTGGCCACAAATTGTTGCAAGATGTCTCTCTCATGACAAAGTTTTCATGCTTTTTTCCTCAAATCGTGATACTTTTTAAAATGTAGAATTTAAAAATATTTTAAATACAGGCTACTACTGTCTATACATTATAATTTCCAGACATTATTAAAATATCTTTCTATAGAAAGATATTGCTCAGCTGGAAAATAGTGTAATCTTCCCTCAGCATCGCCTTGCTAAGTATTCCCTATCCTGACAGCAAATAGTCAACAGTCTCACAATATGACACGTTACTTTTGAAATACATCACTCAACACCCAAACTCACCACAGTTACTCTCTCCATCATTAAGATAACGATGAATCAAGTTTTCCATCCACAGCTGGTAGCAAATGCAGCGCTTTGTTATGGGGTCACAGTATCCATGTCCAGAGCATTTTAAAAGACAGGCTAAGAAGAAAACAAAGCATAGGGTCAGTTGTGTAAATGGGCAGCTTGTCCATGCATCCTCTTGCTAAGAGACTACGTAGGTGATAAAGCATCATGTTCTTAACATTCTGGTATTTTAAACATCTCCCTCTCTTTTGGTGTTACACATCAAATAGATTTACAGCTCAGCAGACTGCTGGGTGTGAAAAGAACAGAATATATCTTAGGCATGCAATACTGAAATGGTATGCAAGTCAAGAACAATTAATTCTGTTTATTCTGAACAGTTTATTCTGCAATAAAGATGAGTCAAAGTGTTGGAATTTGGACTTGTTCTTTTCTTCATGACCTGTTTGTAAGAACTTCTGAAGGATGAGAACTGATGAATCTCAGAATTCCCAGGTACTAGACAACAAGCATCACACCAAATAAATTAGAGTGTATTTCAGTATTTCAAAACGGAATTACAGCATCTGAGGCCAGAACATATACATACCTCATACACTTCTAGTAGCAGTTATTGTGAGATTAATGCATCATATCAGACTAAAATAAAAATGTATTCCACTTAAAGCTTAGAGTAGCAGATTTGCTATGTCAAGAAAAACATTAATGTGTATTTTCAAGTGACTCCTACACATTTTGGTAATCCAAGTACATTTAAAATAGAACAACAGTCCTTTTCAACAGGTCAATAAAGACAGAAATTACTACAGAATCAACAGCTATGTTATTGCAGAACTCACTCACTTTGGTTGCATTTGGATCAGTATGTCCTGATTTTACATGATGGAAAAATCATATCTGTATTATTTGAGTACCATAAAGTGTTCACATTATTAATGAAGGTTAAAATAGGCTTAGAAGTTCAAGCATCTTTTTGGGGAAAAGCAAAAGTTCATTATAAGAAACCCCAGTAGCCTGTCTATACTGCAAATATTAGAAGACTAGGTCATAACACAGTGACCATCTGATACAGACAGATAAAACCAAATTACATTACAAGCCTATTACTGAACATTGAAAGCCTTGAAGGAAACAAGGACATAAAACATACTGTATTATGGCTGTATTAAGTTTTGCCCACCTTTCAACAAAAGATGGTGTGAATGGGGTATTTTCATAGTAATTCCTCAGGTCTTCCTGACACAGACCACATGGGATTGAAATAATCTGTTACAGATTATGTCTTTTAAAAGAACATAAGTAACTGGCACCAGTCTACTTACAACAAATGAACAAGCATTTTAAGTATTGTCTTCATCATCATCATCTTTTTGAAAGCTACATCAAAAGCCCAAACACCAGATGGCAGACAGAAGGCTTCGATATACTGTTTCCATGTTGCTACGTTAGCCAAATGCCAGCAAAGTCCTGGGATGAGCAAGTGTGACCCAAAACATACCAGCAGTGTCAACCCGCAGGACTTTGAAGAGCAGAAAGTCAGCCTTCTCTTTCAAAAGCTGCACATGTAGAGTTCGTGAGACTTCTGATGCCTTGATGACCTTGGCAGGATGCCCGTTCTGCACGTAGAACACAACCGCAGTGCTGCAGAGAGAACAGCTACGGTCATGGCTGCTGTTAAACAGCACTTCTGTCAGACATTCTGTTTAAAGCCTTTGGTTTTGTTTGTTTCTGGAAAGCAAATGAATGTCACAACTGATAAAGATTAAGGAACTCTGCCCATGGATCAGTCAACTCCATGCAAATGCCACAGACTTAATTCTCAGCTGGGAACACAAGCAGATCTCTGGCTTCTCAGATTTGCAGAAGAAAGGCGAGGACAACATGAAATGTAACTCCCTCCTGCTTTAAAAGGAGTTACATATACATTTACTTCTGCTGCTCTCACCTAGAACCTGTCAAAAAGCACTCTGAAGCAGTTAGAGTAACTTCAGGAAACTTTAAGAGGAAGAAAAGTTGAGAAGCAATTGAGACAGAGAACTTCATGTGGGAACTGTCCTTTCTCTACCTCTCCCCTCCCTCCCTCGTCTTCTAAGCTTGGTGGTGTTAACCTCATCCCATTCCACTTCAGAAATTACTGAAAAGCAGTAATTGGAAGCTGTGATTAAAAATATCATAGACATAAATGCTAGCTTTTTCAAACCGTTTGTTTTTAAATTTTAACAGATTTCCAGAGAGCTAAATAGAGACCAAAATGGGTTTTAAATTACCAAGCAGTTAACAAGTAGCAATTTAAAGATAAGTCATCAGTAGGTTCTACCAATCATGCTCAGTAATTCTCTCCGGATGCAAGCAGCCATCTCTAGCCCTCTACACCAAATAGAGAGGTATTTCTGCTTCAGAATATGACACCACACTTAGAAGTATCCACTGTGTAGTTTTCTCTCTGCAAAAAATGAATTTTTGTCACCAGCTACCTAGGAAAATGTTCATAAAATACTTAGAATAACAAACACTTAAAGACGAAGTAGGAGAAAAGTGGAATAAACCAGGTTTGGCCAGATAGAGCTGGTACCTTATTCTGAAACACAATAGTTGCTTCACTGTGAAAATCTGAAATAGATGCACACATTTCTTTAAATGAATAAAATAAATTTAAAAAATATAAAGTGATTTTTATTTTCTTTTAAAACAAAGCATTTAATTTTTTGAGCCTCCAAAGACCTTAGTTCCTCAATTTTCTACGAGAGCAGAAGAAATTCACCTTTTACAGTGTATACTGTTGAGAGATACAGCATGGATTTTTTTTTGTCTTAGAAACAAATATTTTGCAACTAATTATGAGCTGTGAAAGAGTCAAGGACAACCACAAGTCTTCCTGGCATAGAAGGCTATCTTTGTACCTTATATCTGAGTAGGCTTGTATCTTCTGAACTTTGATATCTGAATCCAAAACATTCAGCAGTACAGCCAGCTGTCTCACCAGGGTGTCCTTCTGCTGTTCACTCAGCTGTCCCACTCCAACTTGGAGAATCAACTCCACCAGACCACTCCTTTTGGGATCTGACAGAAGAACAACATGCTATTTTTTCAGAGCCTGGGAAATATTTTGGTTAGCAACTGAAGACAACATGCAGTACTCAAAAGTATTTATTAACACTATATTTTCCTGAGTAAGACCCATATCCCTTATAACCCTACTCTTGTGTGTGCAAAAGGGAGGCAGACAGACTGACATGGTAGCATGCAAGACTGTGCGAGCTAGTCTAAATGCAAATGCACAATTTGAGAAATATTATGTTTACCTTCATAAACTGGGGGTTAAGTCAAATAATACTTGAAATTCTAGCATGCCTTGCAAATAAAACAAAGTTCACAGATAACTAGTGAGAATCCTGGCCCAATTATTGTGACTATATTCAACAACAAAGTGAGGAAGAGAAATAAAATAACTGTCCAGGAACCAGACAAACAAGAAATCTTGGACAGACCAGTGAGTTCAGACTCATTTACTGAAACCTCAACTTACGCTTCCAACACACAGCCATTTATTCTGCATTGGGAAACATGAAAACAATATGTAAGCAATACCAAACCATGAGGAAACAATTCAAAACACTCTGAAAATATTTGAGGATTTTGTCCTTCAGGATGAAAGAAGGAAAACAAGCACAGAAACATGCTTTCAACCATCAAACATATCAGTATAGCAATTGTAAACAGACTTAATGAGGAAGAACTTCTTTACTGCAAGGGTTACAGAGCACTGGAACAGGCTCCCCAGGGAGCTTATGAAGTCTCCTTCTCTGGAGACCTGTCTGGATGACTTTCTGAGTGATCTGCCCTAGTTTTTGGTCCTGCTCTTGCAGGGGGTTGGACTCAATGCTCTTTGGAGGTCCCTTCCAATCCCTAACATTCTGTGAATCTGTGATTGGACACTCAGCTCCCATCTCTTTCCATTGGCCCAACTGATTAACAACCAGAAAAAAAAGAAACAAAAACCTACAATTAATGAAAAGCAACAAAAATACTAACAAAAATTTTAACTAGGAAGAATAACTTTTATTTATTTATGCCTCCAATAAGGCGACTGTGTAACTGTTAGTTAAGAATCCTGACATGTCGTATTCTAACACACTCAGGCCTATTGAGAAAACAAGAAGGTAGAAAGAGAGATGTGTCTGCTTTATGTCTTGAGAAAATCTTGCCAACACTGAAACACGTAAGTGAAAAGGAGAAAAAAGATGAGGTATTCACAACGTATTGATGACCTTTTAATTGTCATACCAGGCCGCACTTCAACAGTTGCTGAATCAATATCTGAGTCTCCTTTGGCATCTGTCACTTTCAAGTGAAAAGTATAGGTTCCTTCCACCAGATTAGTTAGCTGCAGTACTGCCTCGTGGTCTGAGCCATGGATCACATCCTGCAAAAGAGGTACCGGGATGGTCATACCCTCTGATAAAGTTGCAGGTGTGAATATCAAGTCAGGTACCTGATATGACTTGAACTTGTCAGTGTTAGGCTGATGGTTGGACTCTGTTCTTTAAGGTCTTTTCCAACCAAGGTAATTCAGTAATTCTGTGATGACAGAGTGTGTTCTTGCATTGGCTTTTGGGACAAATGTGACCTACTGCAGTTTATAGCAGAATAAGGCAAATTTGGAAGTGGGAGTTAATGAGGGTGGCTGTACAGTACGGATATTTTCATTAAAGAAAACCAGACAGAAAAGCTGATGTTCTCAAGTACTCATCTGCCTGAATATCTGAGACACTTAAATTATTCTTAACAATTTTACTTCACTCTCCTTAGTTCTGCTTCCTTATATTCAAAATTATTTCCTTTTCTTGGAGTTCATGTATTTCCAGCTATCATCTCTACTAGCTATATTTAAATTCATTCTTCTCATATTCTCATGTGGATTGCTTCTATAATCTTTATAATTTTGCTGTTTCTTCTCTCCCAGTTCTTTCCAATTTGCCACCATTTTTCTGACTGTGACTACCACTTTATGTGGATAGGCAAAAGAAGTTATCACAGTATTAGTAGCTGACATCTAAACTTCAGTTTATCATGAGGTACTTCTGCTGTCTGCTACCACTTGGAGAGCAGACTCCACTGCCCTAATGACCTGGGCAATTTACTATGGTTTGCCAGGGAAGGTATCTATACATCCAGTGCCAAATACTTTTATCTTGCACTTCCAAGTTTTGCCTCATCTGGTACCAGATGTGATTCCTTAGTCTTTACCAGCACTCCTTGCTCTCTGAGCCCTCCCTTCTCTTTGGAATACTCTTCTCTCAAACATATTAGCTTGGTATTATCACCAATTATTTTTTAAGAGACAACTTCATTCTTCTGTCTCAAGTCTTTCCCAACTAGATCCACATTGCTGCAGTCCTCTTAGCTACCATATTCTACAGCTGTACTGAAAATATCACAAGCCCCTTTGAAACAAAATCACTAGAGAAAAGCAGGGGAGACAAACCAGAAACAGACACCATGCCCCACAGTATCCTGAGTCATACCTGCTTTCCCCACTACAGTGATACTCCATGCATAACAAAACCTGAATTTTTTTTCCAGTTACAACCTTCAAGAAACTTACCCCAGCTGCTGGGCTTTGACCATCTCGAATCCACAAATATGATACAATGCCCTGGTCATCAGCAGACCTTGAGCCATCCAAGGTAACAGAGTTATTTGGAAGCACTAGAACATGCTTCCCACCAGCATGCGCCCGGGGTGGACTGTTGTTTTCTAGTCATAAAAACAGAGAAGGAGAAGGATTTGCTTTCAAAACATTCAAAATGTGACACGCCATTGCCAATACACCCACACTGCAACTCTTAACCTGATGACTACAGACAATAACAATAGAATCTCATGCTGAAGGGAGAGGGAAACAATGAATGGATAAACAGATTTTGGTTTTGGGATTATTACAACCTGACAAAAGCAGACCTGCACCCTGAGGAGAATACCTGTAAAAGATACCATCCAAAAAGATATTTTTCAGTAAGTATTGCAGGGTACTCTGCTTACAGTCTCACAATAAATTACGTGTCAGATCTTCTCAGTTAAGCAAAAAGATTTTGTGCCTACTCAAGAGCAGAGAAGGGTCATCCCATCCTATCTTGAGAAGCATTTATTACCTAACCGAGCTTGTGTAAGGTCTTACGTCTTCACAATACCTGTACTTAGGCAATGTGTACCCAGGAAACTTAAGAGTAAAAACAGTTCCAAAATGCTTTTTGCTTACTGCTACCAGTGAAATTAAGGCATGCATTGGGAATATGCCCAAAAAATACCAAACAAATACAAACACATGATCTTTTTTTTTTAGAATATGATTGATAAGGCAAAGCTCCAAGAAGCTGTGAGACTGACCTCGCTGGCCTGAATACTAGGTTGGTCATAAATAATTCAATATTGGGCAGATCTCCAGAGCATTGGCTGTAACTCTACTCCTTAGAACAGCATAGAGTTCTCTGTACTACAACTGATCTTCTTGTCTCTCCCAAATAAACCAGTTGATTAAACTTGGATATTGGAGCACTGAATATTTTTAATACTGAACCTGTGACTGTAATCAGTACAAACTGTTACTACAGTTCACAGCATGAATGAGACCCACTTGGGCAGAGCTGTTGCTATGTGTTTCTGACAAATCACCTAACAAACTTTTGAACAGTTCAACCAGTGATACACACAGGTAAAACTGAGTCCAGCTCCTCTTCCAAGATGCATTCATTTTGCAGAGATACCAAGTGAAAAAGAAACAAGGCTGCACCATTTTCAAAGAAGTCACCAGCCATGAATCTGATACAACTCTACTAACATTTCAAAAATTATGAGGGTACCATACTTGCAGAGCCAGAGTGCATCTCTCCCCTCAAAAAACAAGGTATGCAACAGAAAGCCAAACTCTGGACCCAACAAGATTTTAAATGTTTTACACCATCTTCTTTAAGAGGAGGCATAGGCCCATGGAGATTGCTAAAATCACTCTCTAAGGAACAGGATCAGGAAAGAGATGGTTGGATTACCACTACCTGCAAACCTGATGATGCAACATAAGACAAAGCTATGAAATCTGTCAGGAGTACCTGACAGCACCTCTTATCTCACACAATAGGTTTTATTATCCTAATGCCTCTTCTACAGCATGCATGTTAGGAAAAAAGATACTAAAAGAACACCACAGTAACTGTTTCTGCATAGAAAAAAAAACAAAACAAACCAACAACAGACAAAACAAACACCAAACAAAAACCAGGTCTTTGAAGATTAAGTTTTTAGGTAGAAACTGGTACACGCTGAGACCCCATTTCTTGGATGTTATTTAAAACTCACAGTAAAATTGCTTTTCTGCTCAATGCCTAACTTTGGGAATAAAAGAAAAACATATCCTCTGAATGAAGTAGTCACACCATGGTCAAAAATTGTATTTTGGAGCATGTTTATTACATCTAATTCTGCATACATTTAACTTTTAAAAAAGCTTGCAATAAGTGACTTTACTACCAGTCATTCACATTACTACTTTAATACAAAATAGCAGTAACTCTTCTTGCATTCCCTTCAAATATGACCAAAAAACCCATTACCCCTTTCTGTTCCAATTTCCTTTATATTCTGAGAGTGAGTGAATCAACTGGCAAGTTGTCTACCATATCGTAAGAAGCAGCAACTAGGCTTACCTTCCTTCACAGTAACAGATAGTACAGATGCACTGCTTAAGCCCTGTTGGTCTTTCACAGTCAACCTGAAGCGATAGGTACCAACCTGAAGACCAGTCACAGTTGCTATTGCTTTGTTGCCATTTTCCATCTGTACAGAGCTTGGTCCACTGAAACAAAACACATAAAAAAAAAATCTGCACAGCCAGCCAAATTTTTCTTCCAGCAGTACTGCTCATGCCATTTGCTTTTATGTATATTGTAGTTCTGCCACGACTATTAACACTGATGATTAAAGAACTATGAGATATGAGTTTAGTTTAGACAATCTGTTTTTTTCCCCCAAGACATTCAAAGCAACCAAGCACCACATACCCAGTTATTAGAAGAGTAGACAATGCACCCCAGAAGTTCAACCTCCTTGCTCTACTATCTCATGGGAGCATATAAATGCTGTTGTCGTAAAAGCCACCCACAAAATATTTGGGGTGCCAGCAAACCTCTTCCTGTACCATGGGTACAATAGCTGCATAAGGTAATACCTTGTCCTTTTACCAAGGATCAATCCATTTTGCATACAAACATACAATTAAAAACTTTCACGAAACATTTTCAATCATCATTCAATAATGTTTTAGTCACCTAGTATGGAAAGCTCAGGCTAAACAGATTGTCAGTTTACTTCATTATTCAACAAACAACTGACTGAGAAACCCTAGTTCTAAGCACTAATGGGAAAACTGTACATTACTGGACAGCCTGCTGCTCACATTTTAACAGGAGATATGGAATTTCCTCTAATTTTCTCTTAACATTTCAACAGTTGGCCTCAAAATGATACATTGCAAAACGTAACCAGAGATTGTCCAAGATGAACTTAACATTTCTGTATCTTATCTTGTTACCCTTATCCTGAGCAGGAAAAGTTTCAAAGCAGTTCTCAAAGGGTGCATTACCCAACACAACTGCTAGGAGGCTTTTGCACCCAATCACTTTCACTTCATTCTCTATTTTACTGGAGATTTTCTGGAGAGTAAAATCTCTAGATACCTGATATTTTCCCAATGATAGAAGACAATGCCTTGGTCATCTTGGCTTTTGCTTCCATCCAGTGTAGTACTTTCTACTGGGAAGGTCAATTCCTTGTCAGGGCCAGCCACTGCTACTGGAGGACTGTTATTTTCTGTAAAAAATATTTCATGTACATTTGCTAGATAGTCACTGGCAAGAACAGCCAGAGAGAAGACTTCACACAGAATTTTTTATCACAGATTTGACATATTGGCTCAAAGCTACCAATCACAAGTATAATGTGCACAAGCCACCAGAAAATACTAGGTGTGAGAGACCAGCTCTGTAACCAGGCAAATCCCACAGTAAGTACCTCCCTTTTTCACAGGTATATCTGAAGGCACTTCAGAGCTTTGAAGATTTAGTGCAGCCATAAAGCCTATTATTCTGTTTTCAACTTTTGCTTTACTGGCATGGTAAAACTGGCAATGCTACCATTTTCCTGGATATTTATTTCCCCTTAGGCCTCACTTAGACAACAGCATCTTCCTAGTTCCACACTATAACATGTCTAAAAGGCACCACCACATGTTGTACTTCACATTCATGTTCTTGATTTCTGCAGTAAATGTTCACTGTAAAGTCTTCCCAGACAGGGTCAGCTACAAAAAGATGTATAATAAACAAAATGCTTATTATAACAAAATGTTGCCCCATGGTGGAATGAGAGACCTTCAAACAGGAAGAAAAGGCCACTTTTGATTCAACAGGCAAACACATCATCATAAAAAAAACCAACCAACCAACAAAAGTAGTCTCATGAGGCCTGGACCATTTAGGCCCATTCATCACTTAGCTCCCAAACTGTACAAGCGTGTGAAGATGCAGCCTTTGAAAATTCCTTACTTGAACCTTTTCCCTAGAAAGTGCAAAGGACACAAGGACTCTTGAAGAAGAACTGCAAAACAGTAAGAAAACTGAGCAAAGCACTGACAGATACTCAGCTTTGCAACAGAGACCTTGGACAATATTAAACTCAGAGCTACACTTTGGCTTTTAGAAGTACACTCAAACCCATCTCTGTGCAGGTTACCTTAAATAATCAGGCTAGTGTGAGCCACTAGGATCACCACCTGGACTGGACCTTCTATGATTCTACTCTTGTTTGCACTGCTTGCTTTGAGAGAAAAGGAGGTGGAAGACTCCTTGATACAGGGATGCCAGACATTCCGACTGTCATCCCAGTGGTGCAATGTGGGGAGATGAGGCACTTGAGGGCAGTGCTAAGGCATCATGCTGGCCCACCCCTGAGGGACCCAGACGTGCCTGCAGCTGACTCACCAGGCTGTACAATCAGTGTGACCTCAGCTGTGGACCGCTGCCTCGAAGAGTCTGTGACAGTCAGCTGGAAGGTGTAATCTCCTTCCTGCATTGCAGACAACTGGAGGTACGGTGTCCGTACTCCCTACCCGGCGTTTTTAAAGAGAGAGTGCGAGATAAAGCAGAGACGTTCATGGATTGTGAAAGGTCTTACAGAGCAGATGTGAAAAGAAATAAATAATGTTTTCATTAATAATAAACACCAGTTTAAGCACCTTGTAGACAAAGAGGAGACTTAAAATTTGATGCACAGTCAGATGTAATGTATTCACTGCTGTAACTATCCCTACCAACTGAGAGAAAGATCTATAGAAATAAACCTTAATTTCCTATGCTGGTATAATGGCTGCATTATTTCTGAGCAACAGTAACTGTGAAACAACACATGGGACATTAACTTTCTCAATTAGGAAATTAAACACTGATGGAAATTACTACAGCTTATGCCATTTCCTTAGAGCTGTTTAAAAAGAAACATCATGACATTCTTTAATATGTTATCTATAAAAACAGTTAAATGAAAAACCAACCTTGACTTGAGCCCAGCCAGTTTGGCTTATGGAGGAAGCACAATCAAGACAGTCTTGTCTTGTTTAATATACTCTTCTAGAAGTATTAGCTGATATCTACATAAGCTCATAAAATTACTGGGCCCAGCTATCTTGCATCTCCACATTAAACATCCAATTAATTTGTTAGATATCTCAAGCAGTCATTCTCTTCTTTCAGGAATTTTGATTTAAGATTGAGCAGCTCTCAAAAGCTACAAATTCAAGTTGCATGGATGCTTTTGTAAAGAGTTTATCTTGGTAAATGAACATAAGTGAGGCACTATGCTGTAATTGCCTCTACAGTGTTACTCCTTTCCTAAACAGAACTACATAGCGATCTCTTTCCAGTTCTGAAGGTCTACAGCAACATTTCTGCAACAGAGCAGAAATCAAGAATCTTATAAAAAATGGCTTCTGAGGTTCAGTTGACTTAATGACATTAATTACCTCAAATGCCTACAGAGATGCAAGAATCTCCAACTTACTGAGTACAAATCCACTGAAAATTTTTGTTAATTTTTCTCAGATTAAAAAAACAAACCACAAAACCAGGCATAAGAGAATAATTTCAGTTAGCCTTCATAGGACACCTACGTTTTAGTGAGCATAAAAAACTCACCACAGAGCATGGCTGCATAACACTGCCACAAGTCCTGTAATCTTTCACTGAGAAAATTAAGTTTCTCTTTATGTTCTACTTTATCCAGGAGAAAGTACTACAAGAAAACCCTGACTACCACCACATTCTCCTGAAACCAGTTTTCTATCCTCTCAGAAGATGAAAATGTGTGGAGTAGACTGTAGGGTCCAAGGACAGACATTGTGAATGCCAAGTCTTTCCAATCACCAGACAATAAACAATAGCAGGAATCAGAACTGGCCACAAGGAATGAGACAAAGGATGAGAATATATCAGAGAGGAATAAAAAACAAAACCAACATCAAAAGTAGTAACAGCAACCTAAATATTTAAGTTCTTACGAGTAGTTACTTAGGTATGCATTTGCTCATATTAGAGACAAGGACAGAAGAGTTTTCCAATCCTACAGGAGAAATAAACATACCTGCATTGCTACAACTTTGCCTTTGCTTTTGGGACTGAGTGACCACTCATAGCTGATAATTTCATGGTCATCACTGCTCTGATTTCCGTTCAATGTGATGAAGTTCTGAGGCAAGGTGACTGCCTGATTAGGTCCTGCATTGGCAATAGGTGGGTAATCCACTGGTTTGTTGACTGTCAGAAATGCAATGGTGGAGTTGGCTGCTCCATCTGAATCAATCACTGTGAGTCTACAACAGGAAAAACAGTATTGGGAATATTTTAAGATTGGACTTCTGCGAAGTCCTAAGTTCAAAGGTTAAGTCTTTCTGGTACCTGAAGAAAGGAAAACCACCACCTAGTCAGAGCCACTGATTAGACTGCATGAAGCACACAGTCCTCAACTAAGGTAGGAAAGAAATTCAGAAAAGTGTTTTCAAACACAGCTTTCAAACTTTAAGAAGAAAAAAAACCCAGAAGGCTATCTGGATCTCAGATTAAACACTTCCCCTGCAGTCAATGGCAATTATGTTAATTTCAAACAGATTTCACTAAAAATTCTTTTAAAAATTTACTCATCAAAAGCCAGGTATTTAACTCATCAGCTGTAGGGGAGTAGTCCCTGTTTAACACCTACATCCAAAACTACTCTGGATGTTCAGAAGCTCTGCTTATAGCACAGTAGCAGTTCCTAACTTCTTATTTCATTGTGGCACATTCTTCTTAATTTTAGTGGATCTTAGCTCAGATTTTGAAGATCAAAAAACTAAAAAAGTACAGGGTTTAAAAAAACCACTATTGTCTCAGAAACAGAATGACAAATCACCTTAAAATAAGACTGCTGCAGACACCTGAAAGTGATGAAAGACTCCTTCACATTGTGGTAACTGACTACATCTCTAATTCACCTGTTACAAAAACTACACACATATGAACATATATGGAAGGAAACCACTCTTTAAGCCTTCCCCAAGTGGGAACAAAACCAGTGCTCATTAGGGCACATAAACTTTTGCAGTGGTTGTACATCCATGCATATCAGGAGCACAGGATTTTGTTGACCAGCTAATTTCCTGTAAGCTTGAATACACTGCTCTATTGTTCAAGTAACTCAGCTCCCCGCAAATTGCACATAGTAAGTGGTTTCTTAACTCCCTAGGATTTGGAACACACTTAGAGAATTGCTTATAAGCAAGCTTTGCACATTTTAGTACAGAAAAAAAAAAAGTGTTCATTTCTGCCACTATACAATATGAAACAATTTGAATAAAGAACACAGAATGAAAGCTGAAACTATGCAATTTTTTAAAATGTTTATCCAAAACACCCTATTTAATGTATATATATGCTAGTTTCTACATTCTGCTGAGGCTGCCTAGAAACATAATATATTGACTGTTAGGCTGTTACTCACTGGTTGTCAGATAACCCAGGCTGGGTCAATGGGAAGTATGCCTCCTTTCAGACTAGGCTTTAAGTTAAAAAGGTCATAAAATTAACTCTGATTTTAATTAAAGCAGCCAGAACCACAAACATTGCTTCCATTGTCCAGAAAAACTCCAGCTTCAGCAATGCATAAATGGAGGAAAACAGTAGCAAGGCAAAGGCTTTTATGAAGAATTGAATGACTAAAAATCAGCACACAACAGTGCCTTGCGAGGATCACCTCCCAGTACTGTTCTGTCTGGCACCACCCTTCAGGGGATGACTTTCACATCCTGACTGCAGTGTCATCTCAGGACACTTGCCAACTTCTAAGCTGAGGGAAAAAAAACGTTCTGCTACAGTTATTATTGAAGGGAGTGGGAGGCATTTAATTTCAGATACCTTGTTTTGCATAATTTTGTGCTATGAAGTATCACCACACCAGTATCACAAAATCACTCCAAGCACTGCTCCTGAAGTCTCTCCACTGTGCAAAATGAAGGGTAACAGCATGCAGAAGAAAAATTAAGGTTTTTGTTTGGGGAAGTATCTATAAGCACAATCAGAAACAAACATGTAGCTCATATCAGAGAAATAATTAAAACCCCAAAGGAAAGTATCTGTGCAGGTACCTGAAGGTGTAGTTTCCAGGAACAAGGTTAAACAAGTGCAAGACAGGTGTGTCAGCAGATGCCTTCTGCTCTCGCAAAGGACCTTTAATTTCCTCCCAGTGGTAACTCACTATCTTCATATCATCTATACTTTCTGCAGTCATTAAAGAAAAAGATATCAGTTCCTTGCAGCAATTGCTGAGATGAACACTAAAATCTCCCATGCACAGATCCATAGGTGGTGTTCCACAATTATCTTTTTATGTATATTCAATCAGGCTTTATGTATCACAGCTGTTAAGCCACAGATTCCCAGTTACATTTGGTATGGTTTATCTGAACAAGCAAACAGAAAACTATTCACACACACAAAAAGAAATCAATCTCAGATTCCGCATGTTTCATTTTGTCTGCTCTCAGTAATTAAGAACATAATTATGACATCTCATCATACCCTACATGGCAGCTTTCTACCATGGCTTCAGCTGTACTGGCACAGAGGCTTTCTAGGCAGCATCACAATCCTCAAATGGAATGCTGCCTTTTACCACTTATTTTATTTATAAAAAGATTTTATAACTATAACCAAATCTCCAAACTAAGTCATGATTCAGGGAACTTCTGAGTAGAGTGTGAAGAAGGAATTTCACTTGAAATTAACAAACAATAATGTTGTCTATTAAAAACGGTATATTAAAAATACAGGATATAATAATGGGATGGTCCAGTACATACGACTGCCATCAATGAAGGTAGAAGTTGTAGGCAAAGAAATTTCTTGTACTTCAGGTGAAGCAACAGCAACAGGAGGCTGGTTAACTCTGACAGCTGTGAAAAAGACGGGGGGAGGGTGGAAAAAAAGTAGTGAAAGTCCATGTAGAACTAATCTGTTAACTCCACAGATCAATACCTCTCAGTGATCTAAATTTAGAATTGAAAGCTTTGAAGCATCTGGTGTCATTTTTTGGACAAGGGACAGAAAAGGTTACAGAAGAGCAACGTTCTGCTGCAGTTATTTCTAACTGGTATAATTTAGATCAGACCTGTGCACTATAACATACAGGAGAGCCAGTCCGGCACACAACTGCTCTTACTAGTTGTTCTGGGGAAGGGGACCACAAAAGGTGGCATGATGCTATCTCAGGCTTTGTCTGAGCAGGGTACAAGGCTAAAGTGCACTTAAACACAGCGAGCAAGATCCGTAAATCTAATTCCTTAAAATGTTTTATAGACACCACAGTATGAAACATCTCAGCATGACTGGACTACCAGATGATTTTGACAGACAGTAACTGACAAACTATTAGATAGGCATGGTGTACAACTATTGGTGTTGAAGAAATTGATTTCATTATTTTAGCCAACTGATTTACCTGGTTTGACTGTGACATTTACAAAACCTTCACCAAAGGCATTTTCACCAGAAACCGTCACTTTAAAGGCATAAAGTCCCACTGATAACTGAGGCAAACACAAAACAGATGGGGTTACACATCAAATTATACAAAAGTAGTAAGCAAAAACCTGCCAATCATATTGTAAACAGATAAAAATCTGGATGTCTGAAATCTAAAGCTCCTTTTATAAAAGGACACACACAAAAGGCCACTAGTCATGGCCCAGAAGGAGGAAATACAAAGCAAATGTGAATTTTTACTCAATCTTAGAAAATTACTTGAGCATTGCAGAAAAGACACTTCTGTCAAAGATTGGTGACACATGCAAATGAAGATGACTATGGTAGTCATTTGAACTCCTTGAATTAAGGTGCCCTCCTCCACAGGTTAGATTCCTGTGAAAGGACCACACGAACACAATGTGCCTGAGCTTACAGCTCACTTACGTGAGAGAGCTTCAAGGTCTGACTGTGCCTGCGCTCCATTTCACCACCATAGTCAGCAGGGTGACTGATTAAGCTCCACTCAAAGGTATAGGCTGTTTCTAAGAGCAATAATAGAGCATAAGAGTAATCAGCTTTGCCTTGAAGATAAGCCCAGGAAACAAAGAAATGAAGTTCACCATCCATCAGATAAAATGCTACAGTAGGAAGTCATGACTGCTACTGTTTGAGCCTGCAAAATGAAGCAGTACAAATACATGTTAAACTTCCACAGTGTGTTGTAACTTGGTAAAGTTACAGCAAGGATGTAATGCACTTTACAAATAACTGACTTCTTCACATGAAGTGAATGCATTTTACATAGCTACCTATGAAATACAGATTCTTTGCTGCTGCAGCTTGGAAGCTGGTAGTTTTAAGGTAAATTTTGCATTCAAAAACTGCTTTCCTCCCCCTCTGATTTACAGCAAGATACTATAACCTGGGCCACATCATCTTTTGGTAGGAACTACAGGCTTTCTACCGAACCATCTGGCTAATGAGTTTAGGTTCTGAAAATAATGCCATTAAAAAAAATAATCTCTAAAATCCAAAGGAAAAAATCTTTGCAGTTGGAGCCACAAAAAATACTATTGTAGGAGATGAGAAAGATGGTTCAATCCTGAGGTGAGGATGTTCACGTAACTCAGGACCTGTCTGCATTTACAGGTTTGTAGTGTGTGCACCTCCTTGTATGCCAAGAACATTCAACTCACCTGCAGGCGGTGGCGGGACAACAAAGGCGTTCAGTTCAACCTCATTTTTGGGTAGCAGCACTTGTATGTTATCTCCAGCAGATACAATAAGTTCTTTTACTGTATCTAAGACAGAATGAGTACATTATGTTTTAACAGAGGATGGATATAAATTTAGTATCTTTAAATGTGATTTGTAATGAACTAAGTAAAATTTGAAAAAACGCTCTACAGTGAATACGCAAGGATAAGTAAAAACCAAAAAATTCCTCGATACATAATGAAATAACCATCTATTAGAATTATGACTACGGCTCCTTCAACTTTTAACAAATCAAAATTTTTCCTTCTTCCCCAAATATAATTTTCCTTACTTCTGTTTTAGAGAAGAGCAAGCATTCAAAAATACGCAATTACAGAAGACAAAAAAAGCTATATGCACTGTAACAAACCTAATTAAACAAAATAACATAGCCCATATTAAAACTCTAATATCATACTTTCTTTCACCAAGAAGCACTACTTCTATCTTTGTGTGGCACTTGAGGCACACCTCAACGTCCAGCACTGTGTCCCTTTTTAAAAGTTCCACTTGTATAGCAGAGCAAAGGTGTTCTTCTGTAGCTGAACTGCACGTTCAATCTATTTGCCATCCAGGATCACTCTCCTACTTCTCATCTGTGAAAACTCTTTCTTCTTTCAAACATGCCCAAGTCCACAAATCCAGCCCCTTACAGAAGCATACCAAAGCATAACTTCAGGAAAGGTTCCCCTAGACCTATAATTCAAAGGTTCTAAATGCCTTTCTTTTAATATTGGGAACCCACAAAACAAAGGTTCTCCAAAGCCAACATTCACAAGTATCTACACACACATTCACAAGTATTTAAAAAAGTTACAAACGCTGAATAGATGAGCAAGAGGCTACTCAGCAGTGGCTGCTGACAGGTCTAAAAATGAACGAAGCAAAGAGGCCAAACTGACAGCACTTTCTGTCACTGCTACTTAAATGCACTATAGGCTCATGGGAGTTGCCCTAGACACCAGTGGAGAGAGGTCTGTACTTCCAGAAATGCTTCTCATTCCACAAGGAATGAGAATAAAATGGCTGGATGACGATGGCTACCGAAGGAGAGAAGAAGAAATTGTCTTTGAGACTTTCAAGACAGTAGGGCTGAGCACACACAAACTTGAGGTGATCCTTGCACAAAGCAGTTTTTACAGTGAGATTCATCACAACCTTCCCTTCAGCTTCTTCCAAGCTCCTTTTTGAGTCTTCTTCAGCCTCCTCCTGTGAAGGAGAAGGAAGAGCTGCCTAGTCAACACTCAATGGTAATGATGATCCTCGGAGAGGAGACAGTAGCTCATCTACTCCTGCTACTTCCTACCGCTATCCTGGCTGGCAGTTTACAGTTTGGCAGGAGGTGCCAAGATGGTCCCAAACCAGACTCCTCTACCAGGAAGCAAAGGATTTAAGCTCTCCATATCCCTCAATATATCAGGAGTGTAGAAGAACACACATCTGGGATTCTCTAGTTCTTGTGACCCTTCTAATCCTTTGTCAGGGTGCAAAGGCAGGAAATTCAGCAAAAGGATATACTCTAACATACACAGAGTTTAACACAATTACAGTGGTTAAACACATCCTTTTAAAAATAGGAATGTTTTGTCTGCAGCTGGAAATCTGACAAGCTTCCTCACAGTTTTGAAATTACAGCATTTCATTTATTTATTTATTTTTTCCCAGGATGAGCAGGCCATGTTCACTTGTACTACAGGCTACGCTCCTTCCCTACTAAGGGCACATAGGTCACACTTATGTTGCTGCATGATATCTGTCATCTCTTTTTGGCAGAAACCCTGCTGAAGAGTTTCTGAGACAGAGCAATGTTCTGAAGCATCACACAAAATTAACACTATGACTAGAAGAGACTATTCTGAAACTCCAGACAGCCTCAGGTATTTCGCACCAAGTATAAAAAGTAACCCATTTTAAAAAGCCTCTTAATATCTGCTTTTTACTTTTCTGTCTTTGCTTGAGTTACAATTTCCCATTAATGGTGGACTCAAGAGTTCTGCCTCAGAAGTAACTGGCTAAGGGGCCTGGAATTTGCAGTGTTACTGTAGGTCTACACGCTTAAAGTGAGATGATGTTGCATTTGGATAAAGAGCAATCTCATAAATAGTAACAGGTTGGAAGTCTGGCAGTAGTAAAGCCATCCCTGCCTGCTGTCCAACCTCCAGAAACCCCTAATATCTCCAACTATGTTGAAACATTACCTGCTTTAGCAGCAGTAGAAGGCGGTGTGAATTGTTGCATGGGCTCAGATGACACATTAGTGGGAAGTAGCAGGATGCCACCTTCAGTGACATTCTCTGGGGCCACTGTGGGAGTCTGGGTTTTCTCTGACACACCTGGGGAGAAATCCAGTTTGTCTGAAGAAGGGGAAGGCGCAGCAGTCTGAAAAATGAGTTATATGTTGTCATAACAGTTGTCATAAGCGAGTAATTTTTCCCATTTCTAGATTTAGAGGTATGCTGCTTCTTAAATAGCACATAGGGTGAGCCTACTGATCTATGTTACTATAAGGTTTTTATTCTTATACAGAATATCTGCCAAAGGAGGACTGTGGCGTTGTTGGTTTGGTTTTTTGTTGTTTTTTTTTTTCCCCATCAGGCTTTGTAAGAAATGCTAATAATTTTCCAAGTTTCAGATTCAGTTTAAAGCCAGAAGTTTGTGTTAGGCATAACCAGAAGGGTTCAGGTGGCAGGAGACTGGCTGCAGGGGTCACCCCTCTGGTCCCAAACAGTTTGGCAAAAGATGGAAACAAGTCACCATGCACCACTCTACTACATCTGGTAGAGATAGTAGAGATTTATGAAGTAGGCTTGGCATTATATATCATTAACGCTGCAAGGTGAAAAATCTCAGTTTCCATAAAGCTGTAACACCACCATGCATCAGGAACATGAAACACCTAGAACAGGGTTACTTTTGATGATGGAGAACCTTATATTTACTGGTGTTGGCCTGTGGATACCGGAGGGTCCATTAGTATTGCTCCGCTAACTTCTTCTAATGACTCACCAGGAGTCAGAAGGGAAGAATACCCTAACACTCCTGTACACTAGCTCCAAGCCCATACACTTCCAAGGAAACCCCACAGTGTCCCAAAAGGAGGTCCACTCCTTATTAGCTGCCAGAAAAAGAGTCCTTCAGTGATTCATCTGCCTATCAAGAAAATGCTCTCCTCTTCAGCCTTTTCTACCCTGTAACAGGACTTAAAGTAATTCAAGTGTTAGGGTTACATTATAAAACTATAAACTCATTTGATTTGAAAAAAAAACCAATTTCAAAATGGCCTCATCATATTCTGCCTGCTTCCTGAGGGGCACACATACCTCTTTTTGCAAAGCATCACCAGGTTGTGCAAGAAGTTGAACAGCTGCTTTGCTTTCAGATGTCTTCCCAGGGAATGGTGTAATCTCTGGGACAGATGACAAACTCTCCATGGACTGTTCAGCGACAAAACTCAGTTCAGAGCTGTTTTTCTTGATAAGGCTTTCCACCTTCCCGGTCTCCTCTTTCTTTTCAGCAAAGTTGTCCTGGTTACCTCCATCATCACCCACCGAAGAGTTGAAGCTGTTTTCACCTGCCACCATCAGGCCCCAGTCGGCATAATCCGTGCTCTCCTTCTGCTCATGTTTGATGCTCACCTGAAAGGAGTCCTGCTCCAATTCTTTATAATCATCTATGTATTCAGGTATCTCCTCAGGGCTGGGATATTTGCCACGCAACGACAGCTCCTTCAAGCTACTCACTTCCTCAGATGGCTCATTCTGGAGTCCCACAGAGTGGACCATGCTTGGGATCACTTGCCCAAATCCTAGCAGTGAGGCTGGCCTCTGAGAAGGCCTCACCACAAAGGTAAGATAGGACTTTACAGTTTCAATTTGTTTAGGTTCACAATTCTCTTTGTGTTGGCAGTTGACGATGTAACAGCGTCGTTCAAACATCCAGGACAAGTCACAACCAGAGAGGTCACAACATGCTGCGATGCAGTCAGACACTGACATAGCATGAGGAACTCGCATAATTTTAGTGGTTTCTAAATTGGGGGATATTACTGCATCTGAGTACGTGGCTCCTTCTCGGCACTGCTCACAACTGGAACCTGAAACAACACCACCAACATAAAGCACAACGGTACAACCAAGCCATAATATAGTTTACTGTGACATAAATAGCTTATCACTGGAGACAAGATACAGACAGGTGGTATCTTGCTTAAATAAACTAACTTCCTTTCACCAGCATCCCCACTACCTTTTTTTTTTTTTTCCATTCAGCATATTCCTTTGCAGTAGTATTTCTACTCTGAAGGATTTTCCAGTGTAGGATCTTGGTCTGTTTTGCATAGTACCTCTTATTCCCATGTTACAAATACATATATTAACGTGAGTTGCCAATACTCTTCTTGAGAGCAGGGAACAGGAAAAAAAATCACGGGGCACCTACATTACCCCTAGAACAGACATCAACAAAACTGGTAGTTGAGTTCTGACAGCAAAAACCTCATTATTCCCAATAGCATATGGCAGAAGAAAAAGAGGCAGCTTCATTAATGGATTCCAGCTCAAATTTGTTGAGCTGATGGGCAGGAAAAATGAAATCTAGGAATAGGAACAGGTCAGCATGAGGGGCTAGGTCTGACCATAACACAGTGCTATAGAGGTGCAGAGATTCTCCTACACATGTAGTGTGTTCAACCACGACACTACAGTTCCCATCACATCTTCTGGGTTGTACAGTCCTTCACAATACATGTTCTGAACACAGCTACTAAAATACCTGTGGGGCATTATACTGTCTTGGGTGAATTGCAAAGTAGGTTAAGTTCAACGCAAAAACCCAAACCAAACCAAAAAAATTGCACCATACACTGAGGAAGAGGACAAGACCTTATGACTGTTTTGCAGAGCTGGCTATTTGGGGTGAGGAAAAACAAAACAAAAACAATTCTCAAGAGATCAGTGACTTGCAAACAGGTATAGTTGAATAGGAAGCTGACAAAAGGGATAAACAGCTTCAACTACTATTTTTCTGACTCCAGCTACTCTTTCACACAGAGCTGGGATGCTGTTTATTCTTCCACTTTACACTTTCAGTGAAAAATCTATCCTACGGAATATGAATTTAAAACAATCTATCCTAACACAGTCCAGACATGAAGGATCTTTATATTTAACCAGGAGGTACTCAATGTTTCTGTACTTTTTTCTTTTGTATGGCATATAAATATTTCCTTGACAGTCCCTTTCACCTCCAAGAACAGAAACCCCTGGCAGAGACTCTGAATTTTCAGTGACCACAAGTCTTTCCTTTAAGTTGTCTGCACAACTTAGGACAGGGAAGCCAGCACAGTTCTGGGTTAAAATTAAGTACAGGAGTCAGGCAGCCCATTAAACCATTCTGTCCTTTTTCAACCCATATCTATTCAGTTAATCCTGTAAGTTAGCAGGAAAATGAGACACAGACCTTTAATATGTTAAAACAGAAACATGACTCTGTGTGAATGTGCAACATCATGTTAGTAGCAACACATTACAATCAATACTTTAAGAACAACACTTTTAAGGTGGGTCAAAAAGCTCATTTGAGGGCTGTTTTCATACTTTCCCTTCTTTACTTCATCCCTGAGGGAGAAAGTGACCAACCTGTTAAAAGAAACTTAAAAGTTTAATTATTTGTTCAGAAAAGAATGACCAACAAATTTTTGTCTTACTCAATTGGAATAATCCAAAGCTCTAACCTGAGCCCAAACTTTAAGTCCTTACCCAGCCTGACCTCAAATCAAGCTCCCAATCTCACTCTGCCACTTCCTGTTTAATACTCCTCAGCTAACAAACTGCAGAGTCAACCTCCCACAAACTGAATGGTGTTTCAACAGCCATAAGAGATAAACAAGTCCAGCATATTTCTAAGATAATGCACGACTTTGAACCTAAGTCTCCCAAACAAGCATCCTAGCCACAGACCTTAGCTACACCCTTTTCAAATGTCAGAAGGCCTTGGTTTCATCCCAATAAGGAATGAAAAAAAAACATTAAGCTTCAGAATTTCTGTACAGTAAGAAAAGTATTTCCCTGTTGATGCCAAATTAATCTAATAGGGTAATCCAAAAACAAAGTTAAATTCTAGCAGTAGGTAGACAAGAATGAATTAATTTTTAGCAAGCTATTTAGCAGGCTATTTCAGCCTGACACAAAGTGTGTCCATCAGTTGTCTTCAGATGAAAAATATAGAAAATCTAGTTACAGTGAATTTAGTCTACTTTCATCATTTCCTTCACCTCATCGAAACTCCAGCCTGCAATGGCTTGAAGAGATAGTGAGGTCTCTAATTTACAGAAAATTTACTGAAAGTGTGTCACATGAAAGGTCACATGGTAACAATTGTGCCTGCTAAACCAATACATGCTGTTTGAGGTCACAGCACAGCTGTTTTCCTTCAGTTAGCTGAACAAAAAAATTGAAGCATCCTTATACTCTGAGCAGTAATGGCAAAAAAATAGCATAATGCTATTCTACTTATTGTTTCAGACATATCCATCCAAGCTACCAGCAAAAAGACTGCTTCCCTTTATTACAAGCCCTGGAAGTCTTCTGGTGCCTGAGCCATCAGTAACCTAAAAGTTCAGTAGAATCATAAAATGGTTTGGGTTGGAAGGGACCCTAAAGATTATCTAGTTCCATCCCCCCTGCATGGGCAGGGACGCCTCCCACTTGATCAGGTCGCTCAAAGCCCCATCCAGCCTGGTCTTGAACACCTCCAGGGAAGGGGCATCCATAACTTCTCTGGGCAACCTGTGCCAGTGTCTCACCACTCTCACACTTAAGAATCTCTTCCTAATATCCTATCTAATCAGATATTTCTATATAATATATTAGGTTCTGTGAGTCAACTGGTCCCTTCCTTTTAGCTGTATCTAATTATGTCTATAATCTTCATCTTCATCAACGACCTGGATGAGGGTATAGAATGTACCCTCAGCAAGTTTGCTGATGACACTAAGCTGGGAGCAGTGGCTGACACACCAGAAGGCTGTGCTGCCATTCAGAGAGACTTAGATAGGCTGGAGAGTTGGGCGGGGAGAAACATGATGAAATTCAACAAGGGGAAGTGTAGAGTTTTGCATTTGGGGAAGAACAACACCATGTCCCAGTACAGGTTGGGGGCTGACCTGCTGGAGAGTAGTGTAGGTGAAAGAGACCTGGGGGTCCTGGTACACAGGAGGATGACCATGAGCCAGCAATGTGCCCTTGTGGCCAAGAAGGCCAATGGCATCCTGGGGTGCATTAGAAAGGGTGTGGTTAGTAGGTCAAGAGAGGTTCTCCTCCCCCTCTATTCTGCATTGGTGAGGCCGCATCTGGAGTATTGTGTCCAGTTCTGGGCACCTCAGTTCAAGAAGGACAGGGAACTGCTTGAAAGAGTCCAGCACAGAGCTACTAAGATGATTAAGGGAGTGGAACATCTCCCTTATGAGGAAAGGCTGAGGGAGCTGGGTCTCTTTAGCTTGGAGAAAAGGAGACTGAGGGGTGACCTCATCAATGTTTACAAATATGTAAGGGGTGACTGCCAGGGGGACGGAGTTAGGCTTTTCTCAGTGATGACCAGTGATAGGACAAGGGGTAATGGGTGTAAATTGGAGCATAGGAGGTTCAAGGTGAATATCCGAAAAAAATTTTTTACTGTAAGAGTGACAGAGCACTGGAACAGGCTGCCCAGGGAAGTTGTGGAGTCTCCCTCACTGGAGACATTCAAAACCCACCTGGATGCGTTCCTGTGTGATGTACTCTAGGTGACCCTGCTCTGGCAGGGGGGGTGGACTAGATGATCTTTCAAGGTCCCTTCCAACCCCTAAGATTCTATGATTCTATGGTAGGACAATACTGACATATCCAAACACCTAGTCAGGAAAGATGGTTACCCTAAAAACAACAACCACCAAACAACAAAAAAAAATCCACAACAAAACCCCCATGCCCACCACCAAAACCCCGATAAGCAGTCACACTGTGGAATATAGCTTCATTTTAAAGGTATTTTTTTCCCCTTTTAGTGAGAAAATGCCCACATCCTCCTTTGACCTGCACGCTACCACTCTTTCACATCTTGGTGCATTTGTTTTCCAATGTATTTGGTTTATGTGGCAAGATTTTGATAGTTAAGGGGTGAAGGCAATTTGACTCTGAGAGAACAATCAGAAGCTGCCTCCATGCCAGGGAGAGCCAGTTCCAAGAGGAAACCACTGCTGGCCAAGGCTGAGCCAATCAGAGACACTGGTAGCACCTCTGTGATGACATACTTAAGAAGGGGTGAAAACCAGTGTGCAACAGCCACAGCCAGGACAGAGGAGTGAGAAAATGCAAGATAAACCACCCTGCAGACACCAAGGTCAGTGAAGAAGGAGAGGGAAGAGCTGCTCCAGGCACTAGAGCAGATATCCACCTGCAGCCTGTGGCATGTGACCATGGTGATACAGGATGTGTTCCTGGAGCCCATGGATGTCCATGGTGGAGCAGACCAAGTGGTATAACAAGTGGTATGAAATTTTTTTCTAAAGAAAAAGTAGCCTTTAGACAGAGAAGCTCATGTGCAGAGAAATACTTCAGAATTAACATCTAGCAACTTTCTGAGTCTGAGTTAATCCGCTTTAAAGCCTGCATATAAAAAAAAACCAAGTCCTTTTGACTTAAAAGTGAGCATCCACTGATGTATTTCAGCAAACACATCCTGGGAATCAGTAGCTTAGACAGAGTTAAAATTAATTGGAGAGAAAATACTGCAAGTTATCAAGATGGAAATAAATGCTAGAATTTATACTAAAATAATACTTGACGGTAGAATATATTAGCCCCTAAACAGTGTGCTAGGACACAAGATACAGGGAGAAGCCTGGAATACAGCCAGCAATCTGAGCGTAATGGTTTTGTTCTCAGATAAATCAAGAGAGGGTAACAAAATTGCAACTAAAGAATGAAAAAAAGACTTTCTTTATGCACATGGAGGATATTCTAGCCTGCTAACAATAGCATTATCAAAAGAATAAAATTGTGATATTTTCTACAGCAAAAATTCAGTATTTACTGCACATTATTGCCTTCTATTGAAGTTGCTGTGTTGTTTTTTCTAACCCTACAGCACGTACTCAGTATCTCACAGAAAAGCATTTTATTTATTTACAAAAGGCTTCTGTATAATTACCATAGCAACTAAAACCTCAGCTCCACAGTCTCCTCAAAAAGCTTGGCACTATGAGAACCTCAGGGTGATCTTGAGGACTACTTCAAAACAGCTACAAGCACTGCTGTAGTTAATGCCTGTCCTTCATCCAACATTCCCAAATTCAGTAGTCAATATAAGACTTAGGACATTAGCAAGGCTCTTCCTCATTAAACAGCCAAACCTGTTTATATTGCAGGAAATGAAAGTGCGACAACTGAGTACTATTTTCTTAATTCCAGTTAATATAGATTCTGCCAGTACCTCCACAAATGCTGTTTTTAAAAGAAATAAACCCCACGTTTGCATATATTGTTCTGTAGTCGCCATGTTAAAACTGCCTGCATCAGATTAAGTCTCCAAGTTTCCCTATGACAGATAGGCAGTATTTAAGAATTACTATCATTGTTCATCTGTCTGATTATGGAAATAATTTACCCATCCCAGTGCCTAAAGCAGAAACTTACAGGACTTTCCTGTGGCTTTTGAAAGGAAATACATGTCTGTAGAGGGGATGATGAAGTGAGAGATGTAAACAAATGCATTTACGCTTCTTGCAAATCAACCAGCTTATAATATTTCAGAAAAAAATAGGCAGCTTAGAACACATGCAATAATACATCGTTCCTAAATTGCTGAAACAGAAGGAAAACTCTTAGAACTCTCCCACCACCACCTCTTGCTCCGTGCATCTCCCCTGAAACAGCCTTACTGAAATTGGCTCCAGCTACTCACAATTGCCTTCCTCCACTGCAATTAACTGCCTCTTATGAAGCTCCACCTTACAAGAAATTTCTACATTGAGTCACAACATTTTCCAGCTCTTGCCTTATTCCCATTTCGTTCACACTCCAGGAGCACTGGGTTCACTTGTTCTGTGTGACTCAGATACACAAGAAGTAAACTCATACCTGTTACTGTCCATAGTAATAGGCAGAGAACACCAAGTCCAAATGCCATGCTGCACCAGGAAGGCAGTGACAACTGCTTTTCCAACCAGCTGCGTGGAAATTGTGTCTTAACGCTGATTTCCTCCAATATTGCTTAGTACCCTGCTGTGGCCATGAAGCACTGCAACAGACAGCATAGGAAAAAATAGGTCAGATGTAAGCACTAATTAGAACGTCACAGTAAAAGCCAATAGACTGGTTCAATGCAAACAACTAATACAATTATTTTGAGGAGAGCAATGGGCTTGAGTTGGCTTCAACCTACATGTCCCTTCCCAGTGACAGGGGACACCCAGCATCATGACAGTGAGCTTACTACGGAGACTGGTAAAGAAAATCACATTGGTATCGCGACTGAACTGTAAACTGTCATTGCTATATTTTGCCCAGTGTATTGTAGTGTATTTGTACTGTGATTTCCATATATTGTACATTGTGTTGTTCCACTAAATCAGAAATCCTGTGTCACATCACGTATCTCCAAATAAGCAAATGTGATATTAAACATTACATTCTCCACACATGGAATATCTAGAAGAACCTGGCAGAGAGTACTTGCATCTCACAGTTTCCCTCAAATCTGTGGTGCAGACACTAATTCACTCCGCTCAAGACATAAACAAAATGATCACATAACATCAAGCAAGAAAAAAAAATTAAAAAATAATAAATTAGATTTCAAAACAACTCCCGAGGACAAAAAGATTAGGCTTCAGGCAAGCTCTCTGCAAAACCAGAAAAGACTATTGCTAACTTTCCAAAACCCTGAAAATTTACTTGAAACATAACTTTTGTGACCTTTGTTCTATCCAACATCAATAAAAGTTCCCCTCCTAAGGCAGCTGCAAGGCACCCAAAACACTGAAGAGTAAGCTGGTCTCTCATATGGTTTATTCATATGCTGTACTGTACAATTAGAAAAATAATCTCTGATCACAATAAATAACTGTCACCAAAAAAAACCCAACACAGACCCCACAACACCATCACACTGCTTCTAGTATGGCAGTAAGTTTTATATCTGCAGTTAGGATGTTCACTCAGGAAGCACAAAACACATGTAGCTGTGCTACTCTGTAGTGAGCAGGAATAATTTAGTAAGGCTTCACCTTAGAAAGAGCAAAAGATTGTCTGGATGCTTCTGGCTACTACTTCCATAATACAAAATCTTCAGCAACAGGGCCATTTTTCAGTGTCTTGCATTCTCCAATTGCCCTTCTGCCCTTCCATCAACTATAAAGTAACCTGGTTTTGTAACAGACAAAAAGTCCCAAGTCCCAAAGTTGTTTTTTTTAAAGCCAAATAATTTCAAATATCCTGCTTAGAATGCAGCCACTGGAACAGGCTTAGCCCTGGGCACTGTCAGGGTACAGCATCATCAGCAACTGAACAGAAATGAGCACTTCAGCATAGGAGAGAAAGAGTATTTAAACCAATCCTAAAGGTCCCACAACTTGGAGCATTGTCTTTTTATTTCACTGTAAAGGTGATGACAATGAAATTGTTTCATTTTGCACTGAAATGAACTATGCAGACACACACAATCAATCCACAGAACGGCTGAAGTTGGTAGAGACTTCTGAAGGTCACCTTGTCTAACCCCACTGCTCAATCAGAGCAACTTGGAGAAGGCTGCCAAGGACCATGTCCAAGTCTGAGTATGTCCAAAGATTAAGATCCTACAACCTCCTTGGGCAACCTCTGCCAGCACTTGAACACCCTCACATGTGTCTCCTGATGTTCAGAAGTGTCAGGGTTTGGGCCTAACATGACAACAAAGAAACAGCCACATGGCTGCTCACTCAACTCCCTGCCACACACACACACTGTGGATGGGGAGGACAAAGGCCAACTAGCAGCTTATGGGTCAAGACAAAGGACAAGGATGGTTCTTCACCGATTAAGGTCCTGGGCAAAACAGACTCAACTTGGGGAAAAATAATAATTTAATTTCACACTAATCAAATACACACAGGACACAGACAACAAAAAGAGCAGGGCTCACACACGTTATCCCCACCCCTTCCTTCTTTCCAGGCCCAAATTCCTTGTTCCCGGTTTCTCTCCCTCCTTCCCCCCAGCAGCACAGGGGGACAGGGGATGGGGTTTAGAGTCAGTTCACAGGCTGGTGGTTCCTGCTGCTTCTTCCTCCTCAGGAAGAAGGATTCCTTAGAGTCCTGCCCTGCTTCCCCACGGGGTCTCTCCCATGGCAGAGAGTCCTCCACGAACCTCTCCTTCATGAGTCCTTCCCATGAGGTCCAGAGCTGCTCCAGCCTGGGCTTCCCACAGAGTCATGGGCTGCTTTGGGAACAGCCACCTCCCCTGGCACCACAGGGTCTTCCACAGCTGCATAATCCAAGTCCACTGGCAGGAAATCTGAGTCCATTGGCCACAAAATCCAAGTCCACTGGCCAAGTTCACCCCTCCTGGTGCCTTCAGGGAATGTTCCACCACGTTCCTCCATGAATGCAGGGGGACAGCTGCCATTTCACCATGGGTTGCAAGGGTAGGGAAACTTCTGTTTGGGCACCTTCTTCTCCTTCTTCCTCACCAACCACTGCCACCACTCTGCCTCTCCAGCTCAGCACATCCTACTTGCCTTTCTCAGGTCTTCTATCAGTTGCTTCGTATGTTAATGGAAGAGGGCCTTTCTCCCGCTACCAAAAAAACCCACCAAACCAGCACAAGAGGGAACCTCCTGTGCTTCACTTTGTGCCCACTGCCTCTTGGCCTGTCACTGGGCAGTACCTGGCTCAATCTTCTTTATAGTCTCACTCCAGGAATTTGTAGTGAATTCCCTCCAAGACTTCTTTCTTCAGGCTGAACAGCCCCCTGCTCTCTCAGCTTTTCCTCATAGAAGAGATGCTTCAGTCCCTCAAGCATCTTCAATGGACTCTCATCTACCGAGCTTCCTCTGAACAGCAGCATGACCCTAAAGTCTATCAGCCACTCCTCACAGTTTTGTGGCATTAGTGAACTTGCTGAGGGTACACTCTGCCCCACCATCCAGATCCCTAACAAAGATGTCCAATGGGACTGGACCCAGTACTGATCTCTAGGGTATACTGCCAGTTACTGGCCTCCAAACAGACTTTGTATCACTGACCATCACCCTCTGGTCACAGTCATTCAGCCAGCTTTCCATCCACCTCACTGTCTGCTTATCCATCCCATACTTCAACAGCTTCTCTACAAGGATGTTTTGAGACACAGTGTCAAAAACCTTACTGAAGTAAAGTTGGGCAATATCCACTGTTCTACCCTCATTGAACAAGCCAGACTTCTATAACAAAATGATTAAGAGGTTGGTCAAGCACAACTTTTCCTTGATGAATCTATCTTGGCTCTCAGCTATGTAGCCAATGATATCCAGTTGAAAAAAGATGATTTCTTAAGCCTTTGCAGCTGAATACACTAGCATACACACCCATGCTGATCATCTGCACATTTATTCTAACACATCACCCAAAGTGATTATTTTTATTTCATGTTTTATTTCAGAACATTCAAACTAAACCAGAGAGCCACACAGAGCATAAAATCTTTATTAACTTCATTTTTCAGCAGTTTTTGGGATGTTTATGTTGCTTTTGAGAATGAAAGCAGAGGAACATAGATAGACGGATAACCTAATAACTGTTTCCAATTTATTAACACATACACCCCCAAATACCTCAGCAGACTGAGAGGAATGAGAGATATTTTTATAGTAAGATCATAATATCACACAGTCTTTTTCCTGTTTCCATGGCAATCTATCTAGATCTGGAAAAGCTGTTAGTCACCATAAAATGTGATTTGCAGAAGAGCTTATCACTGAAACTAAAGGTCTCCAAGATACTGTGCACTTGCTGTAACCCTCACTAATTCCAGGAGCGGTCAAATGGACCAGATACCTAAGAGAGAATTTCAGTCCTTTAGCCTAAGGAAAAATGTGTCAAGCACAGTATCAGAACATCACAGGGTCAGAATTAAACCTGATCAGAAGATAATAACATAATTTTGTTTATTTTGTAGGTCTTTCTCCTCTGCAAAGCCAACTTTCCTATCTCACTGCCACTAAAAGGTGACAAGCAGCAGCATCTATATCCTACGTAAGAACTGAAGGAGAAGCCCACATGATTACTTCTGTCAACACTAAGAAAAACACTGAGAAACCGGATTTTTGCAGCTTTATTTGTCCTGACTTCAGAAACACAAGTAGTCAGTGTAAATAGTTGTGGAGCTTTTTTTAGTTTAAATTAATTAATTTAATTTAAATTAAGAAAATGTGTTGTCAAAGCTGCAACATGCCAGACTTTGGACTGCATGCAGAATCTCCATTGACTCCTTATGGGACACGCCATGTGAGGATACTGTGAATGCACAATAGCAGCATTGTGTCCTCCCATGCTTCTCTGTGGCTACACACCTATTGATGTTTAATATCCAAATAATAGAAGAGCTTGCATTCACTGCACAACTAGCTTGCTTTTCCTGATATTAGGATCAAGCTCAGACACACAGCTTATGCGGTCATAATTCACTGCATAGCTTCTGATCCACAGATAAGAACATTACCACTAGAAACTTCATGTTTTCTCAAACCGGTAAGACAGCAAACACTGCTGCAGTGTGTGCATGCAATGCCTCTCTTATCTTCCTCATGATAATGCACTGTTCCCCACAAGTGCAAGTTTCATCACAGAAACACAAGAGACATTAAAATGTAAGGTCAGCCATGAGATTCCAGCAATTAAAAATAACTAAGGCCCAAAGATTAATTTTCTAGCTGAATCTCTGTCCTTCACTGATTTCACAAAGCCTTTTATTTTTGTAACAACACAAGCAGACAGCACTGCTGATAATGACTTCAGATTTTCTTGGCTCTTACTAGACCAAGTCTGACTTGCACTCTTAGCTAGATGAGGGATGGCAGCCTTGAGAAGTATATTGGCAGGTATGATACAAATATGTATGCATCATTTATACATATACATATAGAAATCTGTAGCCTTACTCTGAGCAGCA